GTATGTTTTCTGCAAAAATAAACACTGGTAGATCTTATGAAAAAACAAAGTTTATTCTGTACATGACCGTGAAGTTCTGTACTTTTCAAGAGAACCAACATTTTTTATAACATCTGTTTAGATAATTAGTTTTCAACACTGATAAATTGTCTCTCAGTAAGTGAGAGATAGACCTCTCCTCCACTTTCTGCAAGCCTTAGATAATGCATTATCAGAAGAGCTGATAGGGTAAAAAATAACTTGTTTGGTTGCAGTGGCAATAAAGAAATACACTTTAACTCTTCATTTTGCCCTGCCAATATCTGCCTTTTTGCAATGGCAGCTAGTGTGCCCCGCCTCCTTTTCTTATTGCTGTCATCTATATATCCAAATTGTCAAATACTCCCAAGGAGTAATTTGAAAGGCAAATCTTATGGCATTTCATAGTTTTATTTTCAGAAAGCAGGTTTCCTAAAACCAATTTTTAAAATCTTTGATAAGTTAGTTAAAGCTTTAATTCTCAACTGTCTGTTGTGTAATGCCATCTATTGTGTGACATATTTTCTGTTTGCAGGATTTTGTAACAAAATCCAAAAGGTTTCCCTTGTTCTTTCATATCCAATTCTAGGGGGTGGTGCTCATGGCTGTTTGTTAGCCGAGGGAGCCGGTGTTATCCAAAGATATTTCCATGGCCATATGGCCAGCATGATTACATGCCAAGACAGACAAACCACTGTTACCTTCCCACTGAAGGGGTACCCATTTATCTACTTGCATTTGGTTGCTTTTGAACTGCTAGGTGGGCAAGAGCCAGGCAAGTAATGGGAGCTCACCCCATTGCATAGCACTCAGGTCTGGAACCTGGGTTGTTAGCTTTCCAACTAAAAGGCTCAGCATTTTAAAACTCTGAGTCATCATACTTCCCCCCTCCAAAAAAAAAACCCCAAACACTTTAAATTTCTTTAACTGCTGTATGAAATATTCAAATATCAAATAGTGTGTGATCACTTCCTAAGTATTTGATAGTACGTATACATGTATTATACTAAAATGATGGCAGAACTGGAAATAAATTATATCTCTTCTTTTTCTTGATCCATAGTTTCTTGACCCAGGACCAAGGACAGCTCCAAACAAAATAGGGTACTTTGCAGTACAATCATACATCTATTAAAAAGTCAGTTCATTTTTTTAAAAAAAAAAATGCTTTGAAATCCACTACATTGCTTGATTTTCCAGTCATAAAAATTTTTTCACTAAATTTTATTGTTTTTTGGTCACTTCTGACTCTCATGACCCAGTGCAGGTATTTTGCTACAATATCTGACAATCAGTTTGGTGTAGTGGTTAACATGTTGACCTGGAAACCAGGATATTGTGGAACTCTTTCCCCCTTTCTATTTGAACTGAAAATGACCATCATCCTTGGCTAGCATGGCCAATGTCATCAGCTTAGAGAATAATGCTGATTCTTTTTTCATAGATGGCCACAAGGAGAAACTTGGCAACAAGCAATATTAGTATAGATGGAACCAACAGTGCCAATTGATTTCTTCCAAGAAGTCTATTTTCTCGTCACTTCTTTTTCCTACCAGTTTTTTTTTATTTATTTATGTAAAACAGAAGAGTTCAATTTTATGCTTATTAGTGGTCCTGAAAGCAGCATCTCTGCTCAATTTGCATACAGAAATCCATTTGTTTGGGATGGTTTTTATTACTGCTGCAGAGTATTAGCCATACAAGAGAATACTCTTCTTAGTGTTCCTCATTCAAAGTAACTTTTACAAAAATTGACAGCTATTATATGTTCTTATTTGCAATTCCTCCTAAAATAAGGAATGCAATCCACACTAAAATAAGTTGGGTATTTGTGTGGGGGGTGTGTGTTTGCAACCTTGAGAGAAGACTATGATGGGGCATTCCTTCTCATAAAAGGAACCAGAAATGGCAGAAAAAATAGAGGCCAGAAGAAGAGATAAGTAGCAACTTTCCCTTCTGTGCATAGGAAGCATTAATTCAACAGGGTTCACTAACGTTCAGTTAGTAATACAAGTCATTGTGAACATCAGTAATGATGTTCTCATTAAAACTACATAGGAATGAAATAAAAAAGGTGGAACCAAAAGGGATAAAACAGCCCGGTTTGTGAAATAACTCAGAAGAGATTTTGGCTGCTTGGTATCTCCTAATAATTATGGAAGGAGAGAGAGAGAGAAAAGCAGATTTTTTCAGTTTTGTCTCTAATTTTATCCTTAATTTCTTTGATATTTTTCTTCCTTTTAGTAAACCAGTACATTGTTTCCAATGATTTTCTGCATAAAGGAATCACTTGGCCATTGCATATTGGGTGATTTTATTTTATTTTAATTTTTCCTAGTTGTTGAGCAGATTGTATGGTATAGAAATGCCTCTGGCCACACAACTGGAGAAAAGATAAAATCAGCTAAATAAAGTGTCTGTAGTGTTTTCTTGAAAGACACGTTTAAATCCCAGCAATTATGGGCTTATGTATAACCTATTGTTATATGCAAAATAAGCAGTAAAGAATGAAAAGGCATTATTAAAAACATTTGGGATTCCTTTAAAGAGAAATCACTTTGAATAGATTTTCCCCAAATTAGTTTAAGATACTTTTTAACTTTATTGCTCAAGAAATCAACCCTATTCGATACACAATTACATTTATACCAGAAAGAACTAAATCTCAGAGAGAGGAAGAACTCCTACTGAATCCACAGATTAAATAGATAGGAAGCATCTGGCAGAAAACACATTTTTGTCTCAGTACTTGGAGACAAATCTGCAGACATCAGAGACTAGCGGAGTAAAATCCACAGGGACTCCTATAGCGTTACTTAAACTTGAATTTAGTTCAAAATTTGCTTTGGAAAGATAAGCATATGCTTTTAGAAGCTGATAATTCTGATGTAGAACCATTTTTATGATAATACCTATATATTTTATTATCTAGAAAGGTTTATCTAGAAAATGTGAGGTTTTTTCAACTTAGGTTTTAAGGCAAGTTTCCATAAATACTATATTTGAATTAAACACTACATTTTTTTCAGTGTTCCTCCATGGGCCTTTTCTTTAAAAGAAATTTTAGCTAAAAAGGATACAAAGCAACCAATTAGATTGGTTCTGATTTTTGCTTTATGATCTCGCATTATAAGCCATCTGGCAAGTCCTGATATATCCAGTTCTTATAAATGATGGCACACATGTGCTTCGATCCGTGATTTTTATTTTTAGCTTTCACAACCTAGTTCTATTTTTTGCTAACTGAAGGGTTGTTAAGGGGAAATTGTGGGGGGACAGAAGAGCAAGCAGCTGGAGAAGGTAAGCAGGAGTTGTACAAAGTGGGGGGAGGGGCAGGTGATACATACAGGTGTAAAAAGGTGTGATACTATTTTGAGTATCACACCACATGAAATACAGCACTCAAACTATTATTTCTTTGTTCCCTTCCCTTTGGAAAACAACCATCAGCTCTGAAGCAAGCAGTGCTTTGCCTTCTCTCCAATAAACCAAACTTGATTGCAGGAAATACGACTTCAGCAACAGAGTGGTCAATGTCTGGAATACTCTACCTGAATCTGTGGTTTCTTCCCCAAACCCCAAAATCTTTAACCTTAGACTTTCTACTATTGACCTCACCCCTTTCCTAAGAGGTCTGTAGGGGGCGTGCGTAAGTGCACCAACATGCCTACCGTCCTTGTCCTATTGTTTCTTTTATTTTTCTTATACGTATCCATGTATTCATAACTATATTTTTACTTATACCTATTATCTTGTAAGCAATTGACAAACCAAATAAATAAAAAATAAAAATAAAGATGGTGGGCTTATAGCTGTAGAAGACTTGGAAGAAGCCGACTATCAGAATCATTTTAAATTGGGTTTCAGGTTGAGAGATAGTACTGTGATAGCATTAATCACACTGATTGATGATCTTTAAGGGGTTTGAAGTGGAAGAAGTGCATTCATTCTGGCCCTTTTGATCTTTCGGTGTCTTTCTGGTTTTTCTGATCATGGTATCTGGGACAGTATGGAAGGAGCTTTAGTGATTCTCCTCTCTTCTTCAACTCTGGCTTCAGTCACTGGTGTGAGTAAGGTCCAACTCTAGATACTCTGCAAAGCAGGATGACTCAGAGCTCAACTTTTTCCCTATTCCTATTTAACATATATATAAAACTGTTGGGTGATCTATCCATAAGCACATGTTTAAATATCATCAGTATATGATACCCAGCTATATATCTCTATAATGAAGTGATACCATCAAAATATTTCCCTGTGTCTGAAAGCTGTAAGAATCTGGATTCTAAACTGGAACAAGACTGAATGGCTGTAGTTTTAGAAACTCCCCTGGATCTGATGGTTCTTCATTTTTAGTTCTGGATGACAGTACTTTTGCTTAGACAGAACATATTGCAATTTGGAGTACTTGCAACTCCTGCTTGAGAAGCAGGAAGTAACTGTGGCCAGGAAGGTCTCTGCCTCAATCCATGTTGTACACCGATTGTGCCCATTCCTGGAATTTATTTATTTTTATTTATTTATTTGATTTGCCAATTGTTTACAAGATAATAAGTATAAGTGTATACATAGTTGTGAATACATGAAATGGGTACATATAAGAAAAATAAAAGAGGAATAAGAGAAACAATAGGACAGGGACGGTAGGCACGTTGGTGCGCTTATGCACGCCCCCTACAGACCTCTTAGGAAAGGGGTGAGGTCAATAGTAGACAGTCTAAGGTTAAAGTTTTTGGGGTTTGGGGAAGAAACTACAGAGTCGGGTAGAGTATTCCAGACATTGACCACTCTATTGCTGAAGTCGTATTTCCTGCAATCAAGTTTGGTGCGGTTAACTTTGAGTTTGTATCTATTGTGTGCTCTTGTGTTGTTATGGTTGAAGCTGAAGTATTCATTGACAGGTAGGACATTGCAATGTATGATTTTATATACCATGCTTAAATCATTTCAGAGGTTCTGCTCCTGGTTGTTCATCCTGATTGAACTATTGTAATGATACTCTTTCTCTGCTTCTAAGGGGCCCAAGCTACTTATAAAACAACAGTTAAAGTAAAGACAACCAGGAATAATTTGTTTTGGATTTCAATTATGTGAACCAACTCTAGAATTTAAGATCTTGACATGCACATACAGCAGGCGAACTATCACAGCAGAATTTACACATTCAGAGATGATATTCATTGCTTTTCTTCATGTAAGTGTTTTTTCTCCCTCTTTTATCAAGCTAATTGATGTCTGCTAAATGCAATTGCCTTTCCATAGCCATCTAAGCTAAAGCCAATCGAACCATGTTATGTATATGCTTCCATATAGGCTACTTCTGCACTGCACATTTTTTTCCAGGACAAATGGCCTCGTTGGCTGTTAAATGAGATGATACAGCTGCGTATCCAACCAAATTAATTGACTTAAGGTGATTGCTCTTCAGGCATACATTTCATAATTTTCTCTTTCAGATCCCCTAAAAATTGCTGTTTGGTGACAACTTTGGAAGAGAAGAGAGTTGGGGAGGTCACCTTTGAGGAACAACATATAGTCTAAAAACCTCTGATTTTGTTCCTTAAGGATAATAGCAGTTTTAGTTCTGTGCATATATTGGGGATTGAAGTGTGTTGGGCGGAGGAATAAAGATTTGAATGACTACATGACAGGCTGAATTTCTAATATTTTTATGGTTAGTTATGGGATGTAATCTTAGAATGATACCTTTGGTGGCAGCAGAATATAATTGATCCTCTCTTTTCAGTTTTTCTAAATTAAGCAAGCTGACCAATATAAACCATTGAATCTTACCTGCCTGCCAGGATATTCTTTTATAGGTATGTGTTACACAACAAAAAAACATTGTACTGTTGGAGAGTTTTAAGTTTGTTTTTTTCCTGCAACACAGCTCTTGCATAAACTTATTTCACTGAGAATTTTAACAAGATCGTGTACAGACGCAGATTCCTAACAGCAGAGTGCACTCTACTACAAGAAAACACAGTGAGGACAAACATTTTTCTGGCTCTTGTTATGTTCAGAATAATTTCTTTCAAACAAGAGTCCTGTTATGGAAAGTAGCTATATTGGATGCAGAGAGTCGTAAATTATGATTCTTGTTAGATTGCTTTCTGACTAGTGAGCAAATATGTGCATGGCTAAAATAATGCAGGGGAAGGGACAAGCATCCTTGAGTCATATAGAAGACCCACAATTGCAGCAGAGGACTTGATCTTGCTGGGTGAGGAAGTTCTTTCCCACCAGGGAGCAGGCACATCGGCTGCACTTGAAGCAGTCGCTGTGCCATTGGTGCTCTTCAAACGAGATGAACTTGCCTCCTCCAAGAGCTAAAAGGAGAAAGCAACAAGATGAGATGTTGGGATTGCATCAGAGGTGGTATTCAGCAGGTTCTGACCAGTTCTGGAGAACCGGTAGCAGAAATTTTGAGCAGTTCAGAAAAATGGCAAAAACGACCTCTGACTGGAGATATTACAGTATCCTTCCCCTGCCACGCCCACCAAGCCACACCCATAGAACTGGTAGTAAAAAAATTTGAGTCCCATCACTGGATTGCATGCGGCTTTTGGCAGATTTTGCTTACACTCTGATAAGCAGAGTTCTTTCTTCTGAAAAATCTGAGTTTAAAATATGAGAGGAGCAATTTATAGCTAAGACAAATAGTCTAGGGTTTTATTTGTTTTTGTTTTGCTGTTTTGGTCTTCTGGCTTGCAAACATATGATCTAACCCTGAATTACTATGTTCTCAAGCACCTGGTTATTTCATTTTTTTTTTCTCTTGAGGGGCACAGATTCTGAAAAAAGGAATGATTTTTAGGCATTTTGCCACAAATGCCCCACATTCACAGGCAAAAGCTCACTTGCTATCTCAGCAATGCCTCCCATGTACTGACATGATAAATGGCTGAAACTGGTTAAATGAAGCACAGCTAACCACAGCCACTCCCTCCCTCCTCCAATTAAAAACAGCGACATTTTTCTTCTTTCCCCTTTCTTTCTTTTCTGCTCTTCCTTCAGTGAGTAATTCAGTCAAATGTGCTCATCCCTTTCCACTCCAAATTCCAGCCTTTCGCCAATTAAACCTACAAAGTTGTGGTGTCAGATACAATGAAAAGATTAAAATTCTGTTTTCTAGTGCCACCACATGTTTCAGATCACTTTCTATCCAATATCGTAATGGTGGGAAATTGTCCACGATGGAAACTTGTGACACTGCTATTTGATCGTATATGCTTTCATGATGTAAGGAATGCAAATGCCAGCTATGCCTAGAACAAATGTATTTGTCCCAGGACTGTCAAAATTGAAGTTGCTTATGTAAGTAAGAAGATTGTGAACAGTCACCAGTAATGGGTTCGGTGCAGGCCACACACTTCTTTGCAAAATGTCCACTGAAGCACTCCAGGCAGAAAGGATGTTCATCTTTGGACATGAATCGGTGTTCTGCAAGTTGCTTCTTACATCCAGTACATAGAAAACATTCCTTATGCCATGGCTGGTCATGGTAAGTCACCCCACCATTGGTGACCACCTAGTACAAGAGAAAATATCATTCGTGTAAAATGATGGATTGACATATGGCTGTACCATATTAAAAAATAATTACTGCCCCTTAATTAAAGTTTTTCAAAAAGAGGTAATGAGAGTATTGAGGAAAGCACTACAGGCAGTCCTTGTACAATGACCGCCTTGTTTGGAATCCATTTGTAGTTACAAACAGAATGAAAATGTAACCTTGCAACATTTCTTGCATGTATGATTTCGCAGGTTTGTAAAGCAAAGAAAAGCTGAAGTAAGCTCATAAGGACAATTGTGGTTTCACTTAGCAACTGCTCTGCTTAATAACTAAGTTGCCAGTTGTTCACAACTGCTAATTGGGGTTGCTAAATAAGGACTATCTGTATCACAGTGTCTGAAGAACTAAGCATTTTTAAAATTAATATCTTCCTTTTCCTTCTCTTTAGGGCAGTGCTGAGGAAGCAACGATGCTCCCCAGGTGTTGATAAATTATACTGTAGCAGCTTCAACCAGTAATAGGCCATTGTGAGAGATGCTAGCACTATTATCACTTTATTATTACTTTTATTGTCAGAGTACAACATGTGTACAATGAGATTGCCTGAGCCTCCCTTCATTCACCCCCCAAGACAACTCACAGTGAGGACAGAGGTCCCTAACCCAGTCCCAATCTTATTACACTATGTGACCTTGTTGCACAATGTGCCGGCCCCACAAGTCTATCATACTATGTTGACATGAAGTTATTTTCTGTTCAGAAGTCTGACAGCCCATGGGTAGCAGCAGTTCAACAAGATCATGGGAGTCTCAGGTTCCCCTTTACTGCTTTAGTGAGATGGATACTTTATCATGAGGAATATCCTATGACTTTTATAGTGCTGTTAGTAGATTTGGATGCTGAAGCCCCTGCTATTTTAGCTCATATCTAATTATTTGAAAACATTTGGAACACATCTCAAGAGGCATGAGAACCCAACATACAAATCAAAATAATAGTAAGAATTTGGAACTTCTGCATAAAGCAACAATCTCTTTTAGTTACGTAGTTGCTGATAATGTAACCCACACCTGTGTTTTCTTATTAAAAGGACTTAGGAGGAAGTCTTGATAGACAAAGCAATGATGGGAGGATCAGCTCATTAGCTATGGCTATTTTTTACAAGAATGGGCCAACTCGTTGTGGGACAACTTGCTACAGCCAATCTGCTGCAGAACAACTTGCCATGGCCAACTGGCTGCAGGACAACTTGGGGGCAGGAGGGCTTTCTATATTCCCAGGCATTTCAGTTCATATCATGTCAAGACTTGGAATGATTGCATTATTTGTCAAGTTCAAATGGTGGTTTTCATTCATTTTATTTGATTTTATTGTGTGAGGTTGTATTCAGATTATCTCTTTGGGTTTCTTTCATTGTAAATCACTTATGGAAGAACATTTGTTAAACAAACATAAATATATTTTAAAAATGTGTGTGTGTGTGTGTGTGTGTGTGTGTGTGTGTATATATATATATATATAT